TCATAATTAAAATTACCACCGTGTGGAGGGAGCATGTGCAAGGAGTCCTTCAGAGCTGCATTCTTGCTGTGTGGATAGATTTGTTATTGGGCACTGCCTGAACTTTCTCTCTTCCACAGACCGCCCCCCCCACTCTCCATTTTATCTGTGCTGTCTTCTGCTGTAGAAATTCCTTTAATTCTTCTCAACTAAGATGACAGCTTTGCCAGTATGGCTTGAAACAATGCTGCCACAGTGGGAATTTAGTGTATTGTATTTATTGCATTTGTCAACGTGATAGTATATGACAATCTCTCCTTCTTCTTCTCTTTGTCTCCTGCTACATAACAGCTTCCCACCTCTTTTGCACGCTTCCAGTATCTATCCGTTGCATCCTAAGAAATTCAAAGCAGACAGCCTTACATTACTCACTTAGTGCAGCCCAAACTCAAATATTAATGTCAGAATGCAGTGTATTTTCCCTAAATATTTCCTACCAGAAAATACAATGTTTCAGCAGTGTGACAGTCTGTTATGTTGAGGAGCATGAGACATGGTCTAGAAATTATAATGTATCAGGAATGTAAGTGGTACAGGGCATTTTTCATCTTTAAAGCCCTGAGTTATTTGAAAACTGTTTATTTTGATTGAACTTGACTGTTGACTGTGAATGAGCATGACGATTTTGAGCACAGAACTTACTAGCTGTTGCTCTGCATCATTTGACAGAGCACAGCTTCTGCAAGCCAGGCACACAGGCAGATGGAAGCATTCTGAAAAATAAAATCAGGCATACCCTTACAGACTCTCCTTGGTACTCATAAGAGAGCGTGTTCTTTGCTTCTGCACCAGCCATGTCTCCTCTAATGCAAGAATTGCTTTCAGAGGCACAAATGCAACAAAAATGCTTGTATCAGACTATTCTTTAACTGTCCAGTATAGCTCAGTAACATTGAAATATCTTTCGCTTACATGTAGAGTGGGACAAAACAAAGAAAGTCACATCTTTTAATTTTGAGGGCTATTTCTTTACATAGAATCATAAAATGGTCTGGGTTGGAAGGGACCTCAAAGATCATCTAGTTCCAACCCCCCTGCCATGGGCAGGGAAACCCTCCACCACACCAGGTTGCCCAAAATCATCAGCCCTTATCCTGAAAGTGAAAACATAAGGAGGGACTCAGGACACTCTAATGGCTGTGATTTTAAGATGATCTCTCACTACCTCTCTCTACCAAATCTCAGTGAAGTGCTTTCTATTATTCTCAGAGTGATATGTATTCATTCCATTATAACTCAGAGCAGATGTTGAATGCAGTTACCAGACTAGTTGTGAAACGTTGTTCTTCCAGAGTTAAACATTGCTGTTCTAAATAGCTGTTTCATTGTCACATTATAAGATGTTATGCAGAAAGGAAATTGATTTTATGATCCAGTTGTCCCTGAAAAGCCTTTCACAGGTGAAGGGTGAGCTAAATTGCTAGCGTAGTGAGTGGAAGGTTAGCACCTAAATGTTTGCAGGAGGGATTGACTGGAAGACAGATCTAGTGTTCTGTTCATTACATGAAAAATATGCAAGCTCCTAAAGACTTCGGCGTGGGGAATCTGTCTAGACACTGTGCATTAATTTTGGAGAATCTGCGACTGTAAACAAGTGAGTGTCAGGTAAAGAGTGTCTATAGATTCAGAAACCTGATGTAAGGGGTAGGTGGAATACAATGTCCATTCGACAAGTGTTACCCTCCTTTAAACTGTTTCTAACTTTCAGACCTGGGTCTTGTAACCTGCGTATAGATCCTGACTTAAATTGTAAAGAAACCAACCTCAATTCAAACCAAAGGTTCTTAAGCACTTATTGGAAATATATAAAAGGGCCACACAGAACTTGTATTACATGTAATTGGAAAGGAAAATTTCTCATCAGTAGTTATTTTTCTGTATTCTTCTGAACAGTGATGATTTCTTTTCAGCAGGGTTTTGGATTGAATTCCACTTCCAAGTCAGACTTTTTCTGTGATTAAAAATGCTCTCCTAGAAGGGGGTTGCTGTTTTCTGATGGGTTTGAGAAATTGATATTCAGTCCAGCATCCTGTTTAAAAGATATGCATTGATTTCCCAAGAAATGCACAGCACAGAGATTCACGCTATCCTTTGACAGTACTCCTTCATGCTTCTACATTGTAAGGGAATCCTTAGCATTCAGGAACTGTTAACCTAACACAAAGAGCAGATGCTTTTGGAATTCCCCCTTGGAATTAATAACTGGTCCAAGCACCAAAACCCCATATTTTTTTCATGTATATAAAAAAATTCTTCTCGACCTGTGGGAACAGAATGTACGGCCTAGAGATTAGAGCACTGGGTAACTATGAAGATGATATATCCACTGGTACTTGAGAAGACAATAGAAGAAATAGCAGCAATTATAAAGACCTATTCACAAAGTTTTAGAACTTGAGATTCTTGTTTGGAGTAAGTGGACTTTCATTCAGTCTTATTCACTGTTGTCCAAAAAGCAGGGACAAACACAGACAAATTAGTATGATGAAGTTTCCTTTCTAGTTTATATGGTTTTAATTAGCAGTGTATCAGTGTGTCAAGCAAATCCAAACTAATTTTCAGAAATTTTAGATTCTCCCTCTTCCCTCAGGGTTTTTTGATTGAGAGCTCTCGATTAGAAATGTTCATCAATTCCCAGTTCATGCAAATCTTACTGGTGTGCCAGCTTAACAGTGATGCTGTGTTCCCTACCTCTCAGTAGCAAACCTAATTACTACATTTTGGTGGTAGGAGAATGCCTTTCTCACCTCATCTGTTACAGTATGTTTTCCAGCTCTTGCCATGCAGTATGTAAAGCAAGATATACTCTGTGCTACCAGTTCTTTTCCTCCTAACACAGTCAAAAAAGAAGCTGTCCCTTCCACTGCCTTTTTCAATTCACTATTCTCTAAGAAAAATACTGTTTTTCATTCTGTTTCAAGGAAAAGAGGAAAAAAGTCTTCAGTATAGACACTGTGCAGGAAATTAAGCTCCCAAACTGTTGAATAAATTGTGTGTCTCTTCTTGCAACTTTCAGTGTGATCATGGATGGGGTATGTTAGATCATTTTGATACTGTGTCACCACTGTAGTTGTAGCCTGGGTGCTCTGTTTGTTGGAAGAAAAGATCGGGATCTGTGATTGTGCGGGGAATGTGCATTATGTAGAAGAAGGAACAGGGAAAGATGGGGAAACAACTAAGCAAACTTTTTAGCCTGTCTTTAGTATCATTGAGGGTCAATAATTCTCATTCTGTGTCTCACAGCTGGAGTTAGGCCCTTGCTTAACCATGCTATGTTAATGCTAATTTTCAGCTACTTTCTAACACCTAAAGTAAAACCACCACAAATTTCTGTCATGTTGTTCTTGCTTCTTTTAGCACTTTAGTAATCATTTAACAGCTTCTGAAGTGGCAGATGAATGCTCTGGAGGCTGAGAAAATTCCCAGCAAAAACAACTGTAACTTCCTTCTACAAGAGAACTAAAAATTATTTTGGCCATATTGATCAGATATAAATATAAAGCTGAAAACAAACCTGCTTTGTTGTGCTGACCCTTAAGAGTGGTGTGGACTATGAATTCCAGGCCAAGTGACCTGAGTCTTGGAACATCTCCAGAAAGATAAAGCCATGTTTTTAAAGTAATAGTCTCATATTTAATTTCTGCTAATATTTACAACCACCTACACTTTATTTTCTGTGGTTGAGAGTTACAGCAGCGTTTAAAAGTATTTTGTGTAGGTCTTTTCTTAGAGAGAAAGAGAAAAGAGTAGCTGGTCTTTTTTTCAAACTTAGACTGCCTGTTATATGACTTGACTGGTTGAGTTTTTATTCCTTTTCTATAATAGCAACTCTTGTAGTATAAAAATGTTATGTGAAATTGTACTTAAGAAAAAGAGGAAGGTGAGAAGGGAGGAATTTCTAGCTGCTTAACTGTGGGAATAATTAGGAAAGTGTAGGCATACAGGAGGTGTTTGTGCTATCTCATTTGGAAGCTCTAAAGAAGGTATTTTACATTATCGCTTCAGAGGGAACTCCAGACCTGCCTTCTGTGGGCTCCGTGCAGGGGCAAAGGCACGTGGTGCCAGTGTTAGACTTATCTGTCAGAAGTTAGATGTATTGCTAAGATTCAAAAGCCAAGAGACATTTGTCTTCTCACATCTTCCCTGAAAAAAAACCCACAAACCACTCCAAAAGGCTATAGTTAGTAAAACTTTAATATTTGAAGATGGAGTAGGAGAAAACATCTGGGTTATGATCACAAAATCTTGCAGTAATTTGATTCCTATTCCTAATATTGTTCTTCATGAGTTTATTTTGGCACCACCAAAAATTTTGATCTGACTTTTCTACTCTGTTTCTTTTTGAGCCTTTTCATTAACTGAAATAGTTCTCACCAAGAAATACTAGTGAGAATATTCCAGGACAATATTCATTATTTACACTAAATTTTGTTAGGCACTACCTCATCTCTATCTTACTGACCAATATTGTCATAGAGAAGATTTGGCATTTATTCACCTTCCGAACCTCTGAATGGATACCTCCAAAACAGAACAACAGACACCTTGATATTGCTTTGCAGGGGTAAGATAATAGACCAAGAATGGATTGATGTGTTTTTCTGGAATTCATTCTTCCCAAGGATATTGACTCAGGAAATAACCCTTGAAGTACATCTGCCCTACATAGTATTTCTATCATGGTTTTGCTGTAGACAGTTTCTTAGTGGCGTGGTGTTTATTTCTGACTATCTTCTATGGAATGGAAAAAGTTCCCCTTTGAAGAAAGCAAATTTCTGTAGTTACATTCATTAGATGATAACATAAAAGCTCCTGAATTCTAAATCTTAAATTACTTGTCTGAGATTTTTATTTCTTTTTATTATTTTGATGTGCTGAATTAGAAGCAAAACTTAGAACCAATAAATACTTAGTCACACTAAGGACAGTCTTAACTGACAGTATTTATATTTTCTTAACAGAATCTGGTTCTGCAATTACTGCTTCCTGTATTGGTTTGGGAAACTCTACAACACCTCCACCCGGACAGGCAGGAAAACCAGTGCCAGGATACAATGGTAAGACTGTGCTAAACATGCTACTAGAAAAGAATATTGCTTATATTCCTAAGTAAGTGCTTTTTAATTTTCATACCTCACAGGGAAAGGAAATTACAATTTTATTAACACGTTTTCCTCCTTCCTGTAACAGGAAGCTCTGCTTTTTTGTGTGTTGTGGAATGTGATTGTGAATAAGAAATTCAGAGTTATGTTCAAGAAAATTGATCAACTACTCCTGCCTTTATTATATGAAAGGGCTAGCACATACTTGTACACTGGATATAACAAAGATATTAAAAAAATACTGTGCTTTATGTACAGTTGCACTGTTTTATATGAGAGCAGCAGTAACATTTGTATTGGCAAATCAGGAAGAAAAATATTAGTAATAACCATCACTAAAAGAGGAAGTGATAACTAGACAAATAATCGTGATAACTTGCACTTGGAAGTGTTCTGTTATACACGTGTTTTCAATTTCAGAGCCTAAATAGTTTTGGTTTGGGAGATGTACAAGAAATAATTATCTCAGAGACATATTGATTGGATTTATTAGATTTTCTTTGGCCCTACAATTTTGTGTGAGAAGTAGTCTGAAGTTCATAAAGAAAGTTCTCTCTGAGGTCTGTGTCTTCCATAAATACATCATAGTGAACTAACTAGCAACTTGGCAAGGATGTAAATCTTGTATTTGAACTCATCTCATACTTTTTAAAAGACAATCAAGGTCAGTTTTCTGTCTTTTTGTACAGGTATATGGGCTCATATTTCAGAAATTTGTTAAGCATGTTATGTTTTTGTGCTTGCGGATCATTTTTATTTCCAGCTGTGGAAAGTGGTAGGCTGTGGACTAACATTGAAAGAATGAGCACTCACTGTCTGGAAGGTATTTGTATGCAGAGGGTGAAGCCACAGGAATAAGAACACAAAAATATTTTTATACTTGAGAATCCAGGTTTTAACACAGCTTTCAAGAATTACTTAAAGTATGAAAAATAATTGCATTAAAGATCAAACCACCTTCAGGAAAAGATCTTACATCATTAGGCAGAAAGAGCTAAGCTGTTTTTATTTCTAATACATACAAGTGAAAATGAACATTAAAGAAAATAAACATTTGCAGCAGCTCTAGGTTTTGGCATTTACAGTTATGGCAGGAAGACAAGCAATAGCTTAACATTAAAACAAAGCCATGAACTTTATCCAGAGTTGTAATAAATAGAGAAGAGTGGAATAATGTAATTGCATCACACATGCCATCAGATTATAGTCAGGCCTAGAAAACAGTATGAGTAGCAAGAATATAAGAATTTCAGATTAATTTTTTTGGATCACTGGGCCTAGTTTAAGTAAAGAATTTCATGAAATAATGACGGAAATGTTTTTAGCATGCCTTGAAATGGAAACTAAATGAGCACTAAAATTCACTAAAGATTTATGAAAGAACTTTACCTCTTTCAGTCTTTGGTTTGAGGCCAATTATGTCCTTTAATGTAACCATTCATAAAATAGTGAGTCTTGAGATTACTCTGTACTGGCAACTGTCTTGCTGTCACCTGCTTCAGTTTTGATGTTGTTTTGCTGCTGTTACTATATTAATTAGAAGAGATCCTTATGCCATTTAGAAGATAGATCTTGTATTTTTAGATTATACATGCAACTGTTAATGGTTTTAGGCATTGCTGAAGTTATGTTGTATTTATGCTGTGATATAAATAGAAAGTTACAAATTCTACTTTTTTTAAGCATAGCCAAATTCTTTCTGTCACAGTATTGCTAAAATAAACTGATTTCTTTGCTGGTTTTTTAGATTACAAAGAATAAAATCAGTATTTAGCTATGATATCAAAGTGCAGGGGCATAAATTGCCTTTAAAAGTGAATCAAGATACTATATTAATTTCTAGCTTTTTGGCCTTAAATCAGACATTATATTGTGCTTTCCCTTTGATCTACTTGAATCCTTTTCAGATAATTTAAATGCATTGTTTTCAAACTGAAGCAAGTTCCACATTTTGAATCAGTTCTTCAGTAATTCAGGAGTGAGCTGTATAGTGTTTCCCTTCTCTAAATTTTTGTACATTGAAATACACTGCTTGCAAGGAGAATAAAAGCTGCATTTGCTACCTTGATAAAATAGTTACAATAAACTGGTTAGATTTTACTTTAGTAAAATAAAAATAGGAAAAACCAGGAGAGAAAACACTGAAAGCTACATGTGAGGGTTCTGAGCCTAAATTCTCCAAATCTAACGATACTATGTTCTTACATGTTCTTACACCATCTAAAAATATATAAGGAAAAAAAGCTTTTCTAGTTTATAAGTGGATTTTATTTATGCCATTCTTGCCATTTTTCATAAGTGTCTTCTATGTTTCCATTCATCCTTTTGATTTGCTATCCCAGTTTCTCCTTCCAAATCAGTGATTTTTAAAACTGGCCTTCTAGACTTGCTTGTGTCTATGTGCTGAGCCATTGCTTTCAGCAGGCTCTTCAATTACTTAAAAATTACCATTCTTTATGAAGGAATGGCTTCAGCCATAAATAGTAAATTACGGATGTTGGCATTCTCTAGACAGATAGGATATGATATAAGAGTCTTAGCAGGGTTTTAGTCAAGAAGTCTGTCATCCTGTTTTCCTTATTTCCTATGGAACTTTTAAATACAGAATGTAAGATTATTTGCATTAATTTAGATCCAGCTGTACATTGCTTTCTTTGCTTGGGCAGGTTTCAAAAAGCATGTTTTTAAATCCATGTCAGCCCAGTCTGTCAAAACCTTTCCTCCCTGTTTTTCCATGGTTTGGTCATTTCACTTTGTTTAATTCCATTTATCACAGGCCAAGCTGATATCTCTCATTCCTTGCTTACGCTCACATCTTCAGATGGAATGGGTGGTTGTAGTAGATTTCCCAGATGACTGCATGGAAGAGGCTATTTCAGGCGTTTTTCCTCAGAAAACTCAGTACCGGGGTATGATAGTTTCACTGAAGGTGATAGGCCAGTGTCATCCAGGGAAAAGGCTTCTGTTGGGAGATCTGGATTCTTCACTGTCCTCTAGCATTACCCTGCTGGGTGGCTTTGGGTAGCTGACGAATTACTTTCCCTCTTTGTGCTAGACTAGAATAAGCCTTGTCAGCTGGGCAGCATCTCTCTGGGTCTCCTGAGAGCCTTTGAAAACCAGACACACTTGTTTACTGGTAATAGTATTTCTCACATTAACTGGGTTAGCCTCTAGTAATCTTAGTTGTTATTTCTTACTCATGTTAACCTGCACACTTTCTGTTGTATGTCGTGTATCTGAAGGGTCGGTCCTTTGCTATTTGGAAGTTTAGATTTTCCAGTATGAAGGTGTCTTTTAATTTTCAGTTCTATGTTTTTCCCTTTTTGACTTTAAGCTATTTCTACTCCCAAAAGCACGAGTATTATTTAAAACTTTTTGTACTTAAGGCTGAATGTTAAAAAGGTCATGAGATTATCCAGTTTGGAACTCCTGAATTACTTAATTTGTTTTGTTGCTTGCTATATTGCCATTCTGAAGTGTGACATAAATTGACATCTGTGAAGAAAGACACTGTCCTCCACCTGAAAATACACTATTTAACAAGAATTCTCTTTCTATACTGCTTTTTTTGCAGTGATGATTCTGGATGAAAATAAGGAACCCGTGAAAGCGAAGACTTTAGGAAATATTGTGGTAAAGTAAGCAAACTAAGTATCTTACAGTTAAGAGAAGCTTCTTATATAAGTTGATTGTCTTTTTCCTGAAAAGAAAGACAATTTTATATATATATAAATTGAAGTAATGAGGGTTGAAAAGCACGTCTGTCTCTGATATTGACACCAAACTGCCAGAACTTTTAATGCCCATTAATGTTGAAAAATGATAGATGAAATTGTGTGAGTGAATGAGTATGGATTGCTGTTTTGTTTTTTTTTTCTTAGACTACAGCAAAGTTTACCATATTAATTACCATCCTGTTGGCACAGGATTAAGCCTTCCTGTTGGGCTGTATGAGCAAGATATTGAATCATTCTCTTAGATGTTTTATCTTTCAGTTTAGTGAAATAGCACAGTGGTGCAGATTGGCATGCTTTGCTATAGTGATGTGATGCTGCCTCCTCTTTCACTATCTCCTAATCCCAACTGATGTACATTCCTAGAGAGAGAACGTGTGTTTCCTGATTTCTGTAAAAACAGCAAGATATCTCTGAGTGTGCTTTGCATGAAAACGGTGTTCAGTTATGGTGGTACTCGGACAAAATACATAAGGGAAAGACTCCAGAAAAAAAATCAACAAAACAAAAAAAAACCCACTGCTGTGCATCATATAGGTGATTTTAGTATCGTTTACCAGACTCCCATCAAATAAGTTCCATAAGCTTTAATATTCTTTTTGAAAGTACACCTTTCTTAGGGAAAGGAGCCTCTGTTTAGATAACACTATGAACATCAATCACATTTCTCTTGACTTCCTTCTGCCATCTTTGTTGCCAGAACCTTTCCTTCCTTCTGTGAAACTCGATAGCCCATACCAGCTCTGTCAGGGAAGTGGCGTGTTCATCGTGTAGATACCGACTTTGTGATTACACCTTAGCTGTAGCCGCCTCTGTTTTCAGTCATAGAAAATACTTCAGTTCTGAACACTTCCTAAGTGCCAGCAAATACAAGTCCTAAAAGAAATGCATTCATTCACTTCTTTTGTGGTAAAGTTTAGGAGAGTTGCGGTAACTCAGTCTTCACCGCTTGCTTAGGCGAATAGAAGGAAATATAAAGATTAGCATTAACCTTCAGTGAATGGAAATTCTGTCAAAAGCCAAAGTGTCTGGGCAGATGTACCAATTTTGATGAGCTGTTAAAGAGAGAAGTTGGCTGAGGATGGAGGCGGTGGCCATGTGAGCTGGAGATGAGACACGTAAAGCTCGAGGCACTGGACAGTGCTGCAGGCACTCAGTGCTAAAAACGGGGGCTGGCTGCGTGGTGCTTGCTTGGGACTCGGAGTTGCCGAGCTGTGGGAGTTTCTGCTCAGCTGTACGACTGATCTAATGTAACTAGACCACTGTGGAGACTGAGATAGTATCACGTAAAATTATTGTACTGTGTGACACAGACATTTGTTTTCAGGATGAAGCCTATACCCTGCCTAATTTTCAGCATCTTGGTTTAAGCCACCAGGACACAGAGGCATGTGTTTTAAGTGCACAAATGATCTCCCTCGAATCAGCAGACTTATATTTAGATGTAGTTTTCCTGTGAGGCATGCAAGATTTTGCATTCGTTCCATTACCAGGTATGAATAATTGAAATTGCACCAGCCTTTAGTAGACTGGTTTGCAGTATCAGTAATCTAGGTCAGAGTGGAGGGCTACTTTTCAAAGCTCTCCCTCCTTTAGTGCCTGATGCTGTAATAAAACATAGGCTTGTGATCAGTGGAGAGAGAGAAAGATACTGTGTAAGCAAATTGATGCTAGCTGTCTTAGGCATTCAGCTAGGATGGGATGAATCGCCTTCCAGATGTGCTCATACCTTGCCATTGACTGCAAGGGTTGCACAGTGAGCTCAGGGTAGTTGCTTAGCATTATCTACCAGAAGTGGAGTGAAATGAACTCCATCCTTATCAACTCTGCCAAACAAGCTGAATTATGTCTACTAATAGGTGATCTTGGTAGACGTGTGCATACATTTCCTGAATCATTACTGTCTTTATCTTGAAGTGCCTGTCAGGAGTGGACATGGCTATATTAGAAGATCCTGCTTGGGTTGTCAGACTCTTAAAGCCAGAATTTATCTTCCCTAATATGGCCCCACGTTTAGGCATTTATCTTAAAGGATTACAAATGTGTTTATATATAGATTTTTTTTGTTGTTGTTTGTTTGTTTTGTTTGTTTTATCTTGCCTAGCATGACTTTTGCTGCAGTCAAATAAATTGATGGGGGAAAAAGGAGGGAGTTTTGGTTTGTTTTGGTTTTGTTTCTTTTTTTTCGTTGAATCACTCAAGAAAGAGTAATGGCACAGGGACACTACTGTTTTGTTGTGTCCATATTTGTTGTAATATCCATTCTGAAATAGGGGGGAGAGTAGAGGAGAAATTACATTGCATCGTTAAAATGGTTGACATGAAACCAATTGTGAGGTAGGTTAACTATCACCCCTCTTTCTCTTCCAGCCTTTTTTCTGGCTTAATGTTTTGAGACAAAGGATCTCTTAAAATTCAGTCTGCAGCTTAACAAAAATAAAAAACACCAACAAAAGTGTCAATGAGCTTTAGGAGGCCAATTGTGGATTTTTTAAACAATTCTAATATTTGAACCTGTGGACTGTTAACAAAAGTTGGTTTTAGGATATTATGGTTTGCAGTGTCTTACCATTTTATTCCAGGTTTCATTCTGATACGTGACCATTTGCTGCAATGTTTAGTTGGTTTTTTGGTCATAAAAATCTGTGGCTGTTAGCTTAAGGCATAACATTTTCTATCTTTTGCTTCGTTCAGCCAAGTAGTTATTCACCTGTAAAATTTTTTCATTTTTTGATTAGAGCTAGTTTTCATAAAGCCCTCTTGCAAAGGTGGCTTTTCCTCTCTTCATCTTTTCATCAGGCTTCTATGTGTACAGACCCCTTAAAAATAGTGGGGGTGATCCTTGTCACTAGCAGTGTTTGTTTCTCACCCCGGGGACGTGTCCCCGTGCAGCGAGAATAAAATGAGGGAGTCAGGATAGTTTTGACTATTACTCTGTCATACACTCATGTGTAAAATATGGTGTACTGTTTTAAAAAAACATACAGGTGTTTGCTTTATCTGCAACATACGTTAGTTGAGAAATATTCTTCAGTGTTTCTTGGAGAGGAGAATGCCCACATGCTGCCTACAATATCAGCTGTGCAAAAGTGGTATGCTGCTGCTCTTGGTTATTTTTATCCCAGTCTAACTCCTGGTAAAGCTGTTGGGGGCTGCTTGAGGCCTGAGGTGCTCATGAGTATAGTATTTAAAATATTCTTGCAACAGAGTTTTAAACTTTACTTTTATCCTGCAGGAGTCAAATACTTTGGAAAGGTAATTCTTACACCTAATTACTCCATCTTTCCGCCCCAAGTACGTTCTTTTCTTTACTTATCTGCCAATGTATACTTGTTTTTTTTTTTTTTTTTCATATAACCATCATCTGTGCCCATTGGAAAGATTTTTATTGATTAGAACTCTCAAACAAGCTCATTTACCTGGACAATGCAATACTATTTTTGACTTCTCAAGTCTTTCAGGATAAAGTAAACAAATGCAGTGTCACAACGAGGGAAAATGAAGACGGCTGCAGCTCATGAGAGTGAGCTTCTATGAATTGTGTCTAAATTTACATTTTTTTGAGCTAGAATCTTTGGACATGAAACATAGTGAACCAAGGATTATTCTGAAGTAAAAATGATAGCACTAATGACCTCCATTTCCATTAACAAGATCAGTCTGATTTAGTGACATACTTCTGCTTGTATTGTTCTGACCTACCTGTAGTTGATACACACTTGAAAATTGTGTGTATGTATGTGTGTAAAGATAATCATGATTAGCCATCAGAATTTTCAAATTTTCTGTTCTCATAAGGAACATAAGCAAAGAGAAATTCCATTTAAATTCCAGTGCAGTAGAAAACTCAGTTTTACACCTGTACGTTATAAAGATCATAAACCCATTATGTTTATTTTATGAAGCAGTTGTCAGCAGTGTCTCATTAGCCAGCGTTATTCTTTATGTTCGCTCAGAACAGCAAGAGGACTACATTTGCCATATACTCGTTCTATCTAGAGAGTAGTGCCTGCCAGTATATTTCCTGCTAGATCCTAGTTACGCTTCCTCTAGTGTTTATGTAGTTAATTTTGTGCCATAATGGAGGTTTATGGGATAAGTAGTTACAATTTTGTTTTACTGATCTCCACTGCACAGAATCACATAAATATTTCTGTTCTATATTCAGAAAGAGGTGAGAGAATAGTTGCATCGTACAGAGATTCTGAAATACTTTGGTTGCATTGGTTAAATTGCATTTAAGAATAGTGACTGTGTGAGAGGCTCTGCAGACTATGAATGTTGTGGTTTTTTTAATGAATTTGGAATTAATGGAGGAAGAGGAAGGAAAATTATAATGTTCTGTCAATAGTTAAAATGATTCAAATGATGGCCCACCCCATTATATAGAGTAAAAACTTGCAAAACCTTATGTGCAGTGCTGTAAGAGTGTAAAGTATTGAAAAACAATATTTATTCACAAGGTTTTATAAAGAAAAGGTCCTGATAAATTTACAGCTTTTTATAACTTTAGATTTTAAGTTAGCTGAATAGAAACGTGACAGGACTTCTGAAGCAAATACCATAAAGTTAATGTCCTTTAGTGGAAGAGTTGTTCATAAGTAAGCAACCCATTCACAGCTTCATGATTTGTGGTACTGTGTTCAATCTTTATACAGTATTTAGAGAGCAAATAGATGTTCAATAAAAAGTTTACTCATTTAATATTTCTTATAATGCATTAAAAAATGAAATAATTCAGTATCTGTGTGGAAGTCTGAAGCAACCTGAAGCCAGAAATGAAGTCATTAAGATGCACAATAGAAATGCTAACCAAAAGAGCTTAAAGGGAAGAAAAGGCAAAGAAAAAGATGTTATCTTCCACAGCACACTGTAGTACCATCAAAGAAAATAAAGAAAAATCT